TTTTTGATAACCACGTTTCAGGATTACAATATCGTAATCCTGAATCCTTATCGCCAACTTGCCCCAATTAATTCTAACACTGCACAGATTTGTATGCCACAGCTTTAGGCTGTGTGGCTGAAAAGCTGGTGCTTGAGGGTGTTTTCGATCTAGTTGCCAGTGCGCTCAAGCGCAGCATGTCTTTGAGGTACATGAGCTAGGGGTAATGATTGCAAATAACTTCAGACCACCCATGCAGTGCAGGCGTGCGGCTAACAAAGCTCGACACGAGCTTTCTACGTTGTGCGCTGTTGCAATTTGCAGAAGGCCAGAGCTTTTCGTACCTTTGTACAAAACTATTGTGCGTCCTCATCTAGAATATTGCGTACAAGAATGGGCGCCGTATTTTCAGCAGGATAAACAGTGTCTCGAGAAAGTATAGCGGTTAGTAACCAGAGTGATTGCAGGCCAGAAAGGTAACGGACACCTTCAAAGAATAAGGGACCTGGATCTTTTCTCTCAGGCCCGCAGACAACTGCGGGGTGACCTTATAGACTTCTAAGATTGCCAAAGGGCTTTCTGGTCTAAAGTTCGAAGACCTATTCTTGTTTGTTCCTGTCAGGAGCACGAGGGGGATTAGACTGGAAAGAAGTCATTGCAGAATAAATCTACGATCTAGGTTCTTCACATGCAGGGTTATACCACTGTGGAATAAATTGCCTGAAGCGGTGATTGACTGTAGTAGTGTCCAATCTTTTAAGAGAAAGCTAGACGAATGCTGGGCAGTAGTATTTCCCGGAGTTGAATATTGAAAGTTAATCTTTAGGCTTTACGTTCCGAAACATTGTAAGGGATCTGGTCCTGCATACCAACATTCTACCTTTCAGAAAACACTATATAAAGTGTTGGAATCCAACGAAACCGCCGACAACACGAAGAAACGGGACGCGTGATTGGCAAGAGCCGCAATTCCTCTTGTGAGAACTGAACTGAACTGAGAGCAAAACCCGAACCACTCCGACTGCGCGCTCTTAGTGCGAGGTCCAAAATTTTGATCAAAAACTACACATTCACCTTTATCGATATTTCTACGGATAATTACAGAGTAAAACTCGAAAGATTACCAGGAATCCACAATTCCCAAAAAGAAAACACCTCAACGGTACGCTCCTGGTCAGGTCATGTCACAGGACTTGCGGCTGATGCCAATTTGAGTCCAGGTTCTCGCACCGTGAGTGTATCTTTGCCTACATGCGCTTCGACAATACAGGATCCCTTGCGAGCCGATTTTTGGGCCTGTCGGTGCCGACTTGGGCAACTTTCCGGTTCAGGTGCTACTTCTGCAGCTGATACCGTTTAGTGCTTAAGGGGAATGCCTACAGAAAAGAAAAGGAATGTCTTTAGTCTAGGTATGCACCTAGCTGAGCGGTTAGTGGGATGACGCAATGCTATACCCTAGCCGGTTTCCTAATTATAGGGGGATTCGTATACATCCGGCAGGGTGCTAGAGACGCCTGAGCGGATGTAACAATAAGCAACCTATGGTATCCCAGGGGGGAATTAAGTATATGGTTCCAGGTTGTTAATCACCTTCATCGTCGGGAACTATACCCGACCATGCCTCGTCCAGATGGTGCTTAAAAGCCCCAAGGCTACGAGCAGCAACCACTTGCTGTGATAACCGGTTCCACGCATTATTCACTCGATGCGAAAAGAACTGGGCTCTAATACTCCTTGTTGTCCTGGACTTTTCCAATTTGCATCCGTTGCCCCTAGAGTTGATGTCGTGGCATAGGTGCAGCAGCGGTGTTTCCGTTACCGAGGTGCCGGTCAGCTGCCTGAAGGCCTCTACGAGGTCCCCTCGCAGTCTCCTTCTCTTGAGCCTCTCACTGTATGCCACGTCACTCATGCCTTCTATGCCCCTCGTGAACCCTCTTTTTACCGCCTCCAGGACCTTGACGTCTTTACCAAATAAGGCGCCCAGGCCTGAACGCAGTACTCTAGATGTGGCCTCACAAGGGCCATCACCTTTTCCTCTTGGGAGGCTACAGCCTTCAGGAGTTGATGAAGCGCCCTATTACCTCTGGCCGCAGCTGCCAGACACTGAGGCGTCGGCTTGAAGGTCTGGTCTATGACGATACCCAAGTCCCTAATGTTCTCGCTCCTCATTAGAGGTAGATGGCTCTCCGTGGTCGCATTTCGCCCATCGCTATTGGTACCGACTGACATCAACTGTTGACACTTGCTTAGATTCAGTGGGAGTTCCCATTAAACTGTCCACTCCTGGATCTTGTTCAGATCCTTTTGCAATTGTGGCACATCTGGCCGGCCTACGATTTTGACGTCATCGGCAAACAAATAGAGCAGTGAGTGCAGACCACGGACCATATCGTTGATGTATACGAGGAACAGCACGGGACCAAGCACCGAACCTTGGAGGACCCCACTGTAAGCTTCGACAGACCCTGATATACCGTCGTCTACTCTCACGCGAAAGTCCTGTTGTGCAGGTAGGCTCTCAATCAATCTACTACCCCCGGAGCAAACCTGAGACACTCCAACTAGTGTAGCAGGAAGCGATGGTTTACCGAGTCGAAGGCTTTCCTGAAATCCAGGTGGCATACCTCGACTCGCCCTCCCCTATCAAGTCGGCTCGTGATCTCATCCAAGTATGACAGCAGGTTGGTCAAGCAGGATTTACTTTGACCTATAGGTGTGCCAGCTCCTATTTCTATGCTGAATCGCTCTCTTAATCGCCGGGCTCCACCAAGGTGGTTTGTTCTTCGCTGCCCTGGGTTTCGGGGGAGCGAATTCATCCTGCAGACGCAAAATATTGGCCTTAATCCGGCGCCAATGCTGGTCTATAGAGTCGCTTTCGTGACCAGGGGACCACACCAGCTCTGCAGCCCTGGCCTTCAGGCCTGTCACGTCTATCACCCAGGAGTTCCTGGACATCCTTACATTGCCCCTACGGTGTATTACACTTATTTCTGTGAGGATCACGACGTGGTCGCTTTTACCCAGAGGTGGATGGAGGGTAAGGTTTGCCAAATCCCTCCCTCGTTGTAATAATTATGTCCGGTAAATATAGCCTATCTC